CGCGCCGCGCCGCTCTAGCGCGCCCCCCTGCGTCCTCTCGCCGGCTCTGGACCCACTTCCCGAGAGCCGGGATGGCCACGCCCCTCCCCGCGCCGCGCGCAGCCGCAGTTCCGCGCCGACAACCGGGCCCGGGTTCTAGGGTTACCTGCTGCAGAGTGGTGGAGGGCCAACGCTTCAGCGGACAGATTAAAACCGCAATTAAATACGTTCTCTCGACAAACTGACTTCTATTTCTAAACCAGAGTACGCCCCAAGGGGACAGTCTGCAGGTATTTATTCCACTCATTCATTCATTCCGGTGCCAGGTAGTTTTAGGTGCTGAGGGTACAGAGGTGAACGATACTGACAACGTCCCTGCCTTCGAGTAGCTTCCTTCCTTTTAAGAGAAAGAATATGGAATAATTTCATAGTGCTGTTGGCAATAATATGACCTGCAGGGGTGGCTTGGTGACTTTCAATAGGGTAGTCAGCAAAGTCTGTCTGAGGAAAGACCCTGGAGCTGCAAGGAAAAGGAGCCAGACTGGTCTGGGGGAGTTGTGGAGGAGGAACTTGCTGGAAGCAGGACCAGGAAAGACAAAGCCCCTGAGGCTGGAACACGGTTGGTTTATTGGAGGGATCAAAACGTCGGAGACACACGGAGAAATGTAGTTGGAGGTTGGGGAGGTAGGTAGCGGTCTGATCCAGGAGGGCTTGTAGGGCCTGGTAAGGAGTTTGGATTTCACTGCCTAAGACTTCTCTCTCCCAAACCACTGCGTGGAGCATTGTGTAGACAGGCAAGTCCTGGCTGGGAGGTTAGCAAGAGGAGAAGATGCAGAAGGTATGGATAATAAAATTGCTAAATTCCTGAGTAATAGTGGCCTGTGGGTTCCCTGTTTTTACTTGAGATATGACTCAAGAGTGCCTGTGTGGCCCCGTTAAAAGAGTTATGGTGCCTTAGCTCGGAGGCAGCATCATGTATGGAAGAATTAATCCTTTTGTGTATAAAGATAAATGGCATAAAAGTCTCAACAGCTTTGTCTCCTAATGAAAGTCAGTTTCAGTTCCTCCATCTTCAAACAGGATTTTATTTACCTTTTTTTCCCCAAAGGATTTTCATCAAGCATTGTTTTGTTTTTCCGATTTTGTTTCTGTACCCTGAATCTTACCAAGCAATACACACCTCTTTTTCTTGTGACTATCATGTGATGTCTTCTATAATTATAAAAGTGATGTTTGCTTATTGTGGAAAATTTGAAAAATATAGAAAAAAATTTTAAACCATCCATATTTCAACCATTTAGAGATAAACATGGTTGATAGTTCTGATTATGAATGTAGGCTACAAACCAATTAGCATTGGCAATACTTGTGATTATTGTCACCGATAGAAACCACAGATATTTTCACTTCACAGTAATTCTTATCTCAAAAAGTCATTTCCATTCATCACTACTTCAAAATTGCAGTAATTATTAGACCAACTACTAGATGTTGTTATTTAATGTGTCAACAGGGACACATATTACCATAAGACATTTAAAAATTATTCTGGTAACTACATTTTAATTCAGTTGGTTTTCTTTGAAATCCTATGTTTTTTATTCATTTTAAAACATCATGAAAAGGAGTCCATTAGGTTTACCAGACTTACAGAGGGTCCGTGGCACACAAAAAAAGTTAAGAACCTATGCAGGCTCAGAAGTTTCACAACTATAGAGTCATAGATAGAAAAAAGACACCTAAATGTACTTAATTTTTTGAACAGTAAATTATTAGGGATAAATAGTATGGTGATATAATTCCAAAATCTTTATAACCACTTGGCTCTGTCAGATCACAGCATCATCTTAAATCTCTTATGCAGTTTGGGACCTCAGTAGAAATTGGAATCTATGTATTTGCTGTTTACTCAGATGCCACCTGGGATATGAAGTGACAAGTTCTCATGATTGTGACTGTGTAAAAACAGCAAGGAGTGATTTTTTTAGCTCTCGATGTTGGATTTCAAAGTATTCACAAGCCTCAAAAGTTCAGTAGAACACATAAGCAAGGAAGGGCAGGCTGATGAAAAGAACTTAGACTTAGCAATTGGCAAGTTTCTCTGAGGAGGTTTAATATCTTTTCTGCAAGGTCACTAAAGGGGGTCCCACAGCTAATTCTGTAGTGAATTCAGTTGTGGAGAAGCAGAGAGGAGGCATGAGAAACACATGTACTCTGTATTTGTCAAGGCAGACTAACTGCTATTAAAATAAAATGTCAGTGGCATAATACAATAAAGGTTTATTTATTGTCTGTCTACAGTTTCACTTAGGTGCTCCTGGTCAAATGACCTGTGATTTCTGACAAGTGGTGATTCAGAGACCCAGGCTCCTTCCATCTAGTGGCTTCACGATCCACTGGGGTCTCCTCAGGGTCCCCTCCATTGGAATCTCTGTATCTCTCCAACAAATGAGGGGCAAGAATGGAGAATCATACATGGGGGGGTTTTTATGGCCAAGACTTCAACACACATCCCATTGGTCAGAACTCTTAAACATGGCTATCATGGCCAGTGGGGAAAGAAAAATGATTTGGTGAACAATTGGCCAGTCTTTGCTACACTTTCCAAAGGGTTCTGTCAACAAGAACCAGGCAATGTATTTGAGAGAATTGAGCATTGTGGTGGCAGTATACAGGATTAATCTGACGTACTTTTGATAAAATGGGTAGTATTTCAACTATTGAAGTTATTCTTGGAAACTGAGCATCCATGAATATGAATAGTAAGAAAAAAATCTAGCCAAAGAATTCAGTTAACTTTTTATCTATATGGCCCATGCTGGATTCTTAAAAATCTTCTATAGAGCCTTCGTTTAGTATTTGCTTACACTTATGGATTGAGTAGCTTTTCTAAGAATACTGTCTTATACTGTAGTTTTTATTCTATTTACTTTTTTATGATGCAGCATTAATGACTGTTGCTACTGTATTAACTAAGAGGAGGCCTCCTTCTATTTAGGACCACTTACCCACAGTGGAGAAAAGCTAGAGGCTCATATAAGTGAAAAGAAATTCTAGTAGGGTTTCTAAAAGAGAAATATTGCCAATTATACCTCAGTTTTTAAAAAGCCAACAAAAAATTCTAAAAACTTGTTGCAGTTTCATGAAATGAATCAGTAAAATAGCTTACTTTGCATAAAAATGATAGATAGAACACACTTCATCTTTTCTTGTTTAGAATTCCATTTTGACCTATCTACATAGTGTGAGTGTACCCCTTTGTACAACTTTTTAATGGTTGCTCTACGTATTACATTATACGTGAAACTGTTTTAGATAAAACTGAGTCTTCTGTGTTTCTCCTTTACTCTCACACTGCTGCCACACTCACAACACTTCAGGCACCAAATGTTGGGGGTCCCAGGGTCCCACATCAAGAGCAATAATTTTCTGTGACACCAGCTCAGAGTCCTACAATTTAACTCAGTTCTGACACTGCCTGGAAATAGCGTTAGATCCCACAAGTTAAGGGTTCGGTCCCATGAGACTGCTCCCCACTTGACTACAAATCAGAGGTTCCCATGACCTCCTCTCCCTTGTATTCAGTTATTTGCTAGAACAGCACACAGAACTCAGGGAAACATTTATGTGTACCAGTTTATTATATAATAAAGGATATGATAAAAGATACAGATGAACAGCCAGATGAAGAGATATAGAGGGTGAGGTATGGGACGGTCCTGAGTGCAAGAGCTTTTGTCCCCGTGGAGTTGCGGTACATCACCCTTCCAGTATGTGGAGGCTTCACCAATCTGGATGCTCTCCAAACCCTATACTTTTAGACTGTTTTTGGAGGCTTCATCATGTAGGCATGACCAATCATTACATCCATTTCCAGCCACTCTTCCCACTCTGAAAAATGGGGTGGGGGTGGGAGCTGAAAATCCCAAGCTCCTAATTATGGTTTGGTCTTTCTGGTGACCAGCCCTCATCCAGGAGTCACCTTATTAGCACAAAAGACACTGCTGTCCCCTAGGAAATCCCAAAGGGTTTTAGAAGCTGTGTGCCAGGAACCAGGGGCAGAGACCAACATATGTGTA